CTACCCTCAAAGATTATTTTTTTTTCTTTCTTTTTTCCTCTCCTTCTGTTGGGTAAGTCACCCTCTGGAGAGAGAACATCAGGGGAAACAGGGCTTTGACTTATCACAGCCTTACAGCATAGAGCTTTCATTGGACTGACTTTGCTTTTCCTACCTGAGATTCTGAAGGGAGGACAAAGTTGCCTACCTTGCTTTCATCTGCGACCAGGTAGTCATTTTGATTGGAAAAAACTGAAGATCCTTGCGTTCCAGCCATAGATAAAATGGATACTTGCTTGTATAAAGGCATAACTAGTTGGTCATGTCTACTAAGGGCTTGAGCAAGAGTCCTAGCTGGTTTTGCAGACACCTGTTTCATGTGAATCTGTGTTTTCAGCATCAGTAATTCTGTACACCCTCAGGTGCTGCAGCGTTGGTGGTAGGATGTGCTCTGATATGGATCATCTCTTCTGTATTTATTTATTTATTGCTAGATTTCAACCACCAACTGCTTCCCCTGCTCCATCCCACCACCTCCGTTCCTGGTAGTAATGCAAAATGAACTGTATGTAGTTATGCACTTTGTATTAATGTATTAGAAATCTATGGAACCTGTTTTGTACTTTTATACTGTTCAGACACTTGTAATCCAAACTTTTTTTTACTAGAGTAATGAATAAATTTAGACTTATTTAGAAAATAAGCAACTTCTCCTCTGTTTATTTCAACTCTGTTCTGTTAATTAGACTTGGTGTTGGAACCAGCCCAGGCACCCTATGTTTCTGTTTGAACAAGACCAGGACTTCTTTTGGCGAGGGGGAGTGAGATAATTCTCTTCCTGTTTAATTTGGAAAGAAAGCAGGGCAAAGGAAGGAGATGGTGTTTGTTATGATAGACAACATTCTGTCTTGGGGCAGAATCACAGAGCTTTCCCTTGCCACTGCATGTGCATCAGGCATTCCCTTCCTGGGAATAGGTGGTGCTGACATTGGGTGTTCCTGGGGGACTCTGTCTAGTTCACTGGCATTCATGGAAGGTCAGCTGAAGCAACAGCAGTCAAGGATTGGTGCTGACAGCTTTTGGAAATAACCCTTTCCAGATCCAGCAGTCAGTGGATGAGACTAGTGCTCCTCTGCT